GATGTAGTCATCTCGGGAGAGAACCAGGCTGCGGTAACCCCGCCCCTGGCCACACCCCCAATCTACCTGATGTAGTCATCTCGGGAGAGAACCTGGCTGCCCTAACCCCGCCCCAAGCCACACCCAGCTCTGCCCCTGGCCACATCCCCAGTCCACCTGAAATAATCATCCTGGGAGAGCGCCAGGCTGCGGTAACCCCGCCCCTGGCCACACCCCCAATCTACCTGATGTAGTCATCTCGGGAGAGAACCTGGCTGCCCTAATCCCGCCCCAAGCCACACCCAGCTCTGCCCCTGGCCACATCCCCAGTCCACCTGAAATAATCATCCTGGGAGAGCGCCATGCTGCGGTAACCCCGCCCCTGGCCACACCCATCCCTGCCCATGGCCACATCCCCAGCCCACCTGATGTAGTCGTCCCGGCAGAGCACCATACCACCCTTGCTGTAGCAGGTGGTGCCGATGTCGCCCAGCTGGGCCTGGCAGCATGAGCACTTCAGGCAGTGAGTGTGCCAGTAGCGCTCCATGGAGAAAAGCAGGAAGCGGTCTGCGATGCGGCCCCCACAGCCTGCGCATCCCCTGGGGGGTGAACTCGCCCCCACCCCTGCCATGGACGAAGGCTCCACCCGGCTGTGCACCATCGCAGGCCTACAAAAGAAAAAAGAAGAAAAAATAGGGATGGGTCAACACCACTAGATGGTGCTCTTGGGCAACAAAGAAAGTATCACAAATGCCTTAACCCCCTTTTTTTTCTGGGGGGGTGCACTGCTTTTCAGAACTTTGAGAAATACTTGTGATGAAATATCCACAACGACAGCAGTGGCTTCAATGATATTTGAGAAGTAAAGCGATTGCTTTATAAAACGGTGCTGTAGCCAATGGAAAACACCGTTAAAGAAACGCATGAGCACAGAGATGTCCGAGGGACCCCAAGGTGGACGTCTCCGAGTGCATTTCAAGGCTGATAAAGGCAGCGCTTCCGTCACTCCCTCCTCTAGGCGCCATCTCCATCCTAATATTGTTTCCCACATAACACCTTTTCTGGTGTAAATTTAAAGGAACATTGAAATTCTGAACTAGAACATTCCCTTCTATGATGTCACACCTCACCCATCGAGAGCCCCACTGCACGCTAATTACCATCCCAGGGCCCCTCCAGTACAGCATTAGCTGGTCCTGCACCCCTAATAAGCACGTTCATTCCACCCAGAAGGAGACCGATTTAGCATGCAGCTGGTCGTCTACTTTTATCATGCCACTAATGAGAAGCATACCAGAGTGCAGGCCGCATTCGCCGCGGCCCTTTAAGATTTACGCACACTGAAGTCCGGCACGCCTCGGCGAGGAGTTCACTCTCACTTTTACTTACGAGAACAGAAGATGATCTGCACAATTTTGCCAAGGACTTGAGAGCTACTCGAAGGCCATAAATGACCCCACGGTGACCCTGGAGGTGCTGCTGTAAGCCCAATGTGGTTTTGGTCCCCTGTGTCAGAAGGCACCTGAAGCACTTCCTTCATGTAACAGCGACCACAGATGATGGACC